GGAGTAAACTACAAGAAGTCTGAAACAAAACAGATTGCAGCATGGTTATCACAGTACAGAAACAGGTCAGGCAATATTAAGCCATCAGCTTATGTTCTTGAGTAGCTAAAATCTGTTTCTTTTGGATCTCTTGGTATGGGGAGCAATGTGCCCTGTTGAGAGGGGTTGCCAATCCTGGGTGGCTGACAAGCGGTCGTTAACTCTAGGGACCAAGTCAGTAATGCTTGGCACAAATTGGATTGACAGTCCATTAATGTCTGATTCTTGCAACAGTTTCACACACAAGTCTGCTCATTCTTCCCTATGAATTTGAAATTGCTTGTTAAATCAGTTTTAGGTCAATTGTTGTCTGCTTTGGGAATAGAATCTTACCTGTTGGTGTTCTCACCGATCATGAGTAACTTAGGAGGGAAGCACTGGTCTACCAACTTTTTCTTTTATTTGAAATCTCTGTTTACTGACTAGTACATCTGTGTTTACTGACTAGTATAAATAGAGAAATTAGACTGAAGATAGGTGTGTGTTGCTATTGAATCTAAATTTTCCTATTATATTAGCTACTGGGTGGAAGCGTGTTTAGAACTCTCCTGCCCTGAGTTGATTCTATGGACACAAGATCATAAGCTGTTTTTTGTTTTTTTTTTTTTTTGTGGCTGGCATTTTAGTAATGCAGAGGTAAGAGACATCAATTGTAGGATGACTTAATATGGCATTTGAAGAAGCCACATCTATCAGTGTTAAACATCCACTGTTTGAAAATGGAGCCTTTACAAAAGTACCAACTTTTTTCTTTTTTTTTTTTTTTTTTTTCCAAAAAAGGGGGAAATTGCTGTTACTGTGTTCAGAGAACATGTGGTGAGAAGGTGCTACGTGTAAATTTATACATCTCAGGAGTTTGTGCCTGGAATACTTGATAGTGATAGTTTAGTTTGTAATAGATATTTGTAGTGGAAGGGTGGGGGTGCAATAGCTTGCAAGCACACACTTTTTCTGCAAGAAGCCGTCTGCTTCATTCATTTAAATAGGAATCAAATATTGAAATTCTCATAAAAGGAATAATATTTTAGTTTTTAACCATTCATTTTTTGGGCATCTTCTTCAAAACTATCCCTGCTTGCAGTCCTGTTATTTGTAACATTAAAAACTTATGGAATCCTTTTTTTCATTCTGCTTTCTTCAACACTCATTTTCACAAGTTGTGCTGCAGAAGGTGTTACTTTAAGGTTTGATAACACAAAACTTTTTTTTTTTTTTTTTTTTAAATCCTGGAATCTTGTAAATGTTATTATTGATAATGACAATTCAGTGATCACAATTGAATATTTTTGTAGTGATTACTGCAGCAATCATGGCATCTAGACTCTGTAAATTTCCCCTAGTTACTTTCACAACAAAATTATTCTTTTTCTTTTTGTACATCTTGGAAATGAGTGATGCTGTTTGTAATACTACTCATGTCTCTAGCTTGATGTTTTATGGCTTTGGGATATGCATGTTGACTAAAATGTATATGCTTTGGTAACTTTTGAATCTTTTTAGTGATTTTTTTTCCCATTATTCAGCTTGAATAATTCTCATGAGTTACGAAACAACTTCAAGACAGTTCTGAGAAAGCTAAGGGGAAACAAATGTATAACGTGTTTGGTTGTGATAAAACAGCGAGACGATATCGATAAGGACTTATCTACAGTCATATGACAAGCAAGTGATACGAGGGTTAGGGATTTTTCTTAGATTAAACATGTATGCTTTTCGTTAATTTTTAATATGGTGAGAAGATTTTGTTGTAAGGGAGATACTCAGTTCTTTCCTTAATAAGTGATGAAGTGGTAAAGGGCAAGACTATTTATACCTGTAGTCATACACCTATAAAATTTCACATTTTAAACAATGTATTTCCAGTAGCCTTCTGAATATTAAGCGTGGGATATTAGGATATGTTGAAGACTTTTAGAAAAACTTTTTTAAGTAGATAGAAATTTTTCCCCAAAGGTAAGTTTTTAACCAGTCCTATATTCACTGCAGAAAATGTCCTTTTGTTGAGTATTTAACATCAGAAATCTAACTCATTTTTTTCTGATTTGTACATTGTTCTGTAGATTGTATGTATGTATCTCTCTAGAGAGTACATTAAGTGGGTGATGTGAAAAAAGACTTCCTGTTGGTCTTGCTGGTTTGTGTACAGCACTTCATGTGTTTAAGAAGTAAGGTGAAAGAAAAGCCTGCTTGTTCTTGTTTGGTGTTTTCACTCATATGAGCAGCCCATCAGTGCTATGCTCTAAGTATTTCCAGACACTGTAGGTTTGGTGGGAGAATATTTCACAAGTAGCTTGTGTATGTATTGCTGCAGGACAGTGCTTGTGGGAGTTCAGGTTCCTAAGCTTTAGATCTGCTCTCAAAAATGTGAGGCTTTCAGAAGTGCTGCCATATGGTCAAGTGGTATGAGTGGGCAGTTAGATTATAATGAATGCAGTGCCCAAGTAGTGGTATTGCCCATGTACCAGGACTGCCTGGCTTTCAGACAGGCAGTCCTAGTATTGGCATTACAAAGCAGCCAAGACAAACTATAGAATCATAGAATAAGGAAGTCATAGAATCATAGAATAAGGAATCATATCCAGTGATTCTAGAATCATAGAATATAGGAAGCATCTGTAGTGATGTTGAGGAAATTGTTGAATGTGAACAGCTATCACCTTGTTGAAAGGAGTCTGCTGAATGGTTTTCCACACATAATGATATTTCTTTCGGATCATTTTCAGTGTTGCTAGGCAGAAGGCTTTTGTGACCAGTGTCAGAATTTTAATACGTATCTTTATACAAGCTGACTGACTGATGGCATATCACAAGTTCATTGATTAAAGGAAGTGACACTGCTTCTAGGAGAGATGCTTCTGCTGATGTACACAATCAACTTGGTGGCAGAGAAGGAGCAAATACTGTCTCATTATTTGCATGAGTTGAGTATAGATGTGAGGAAGGATCCTGCCTGTCTTTTTTGCTGCATGAGGAAATAATACCAAATGTCAACTCAAATGATCTGTATGTTAATCTCTTGTTAGTGTTACTCTAGCAGAGAAGGCGCATGCAATTTTCAGTTACAACTGCAGATATTTAATTAGTATAGAAGTCAAAGTTTTAGGATTAATTTAGGCTTTCTCTGTGTCACCCTATATTTCTGTTGCTAAACCATGCAGTCCACAAATTTGTAGAAGGAAATAAGGTAAGGTTACAGTCTCAAGTTGGCAAGCATATGATAGTTTTAGTAAGGACTGAAGGGAAACTAGTTAACTAAAAGTAGATTGCAGTGTAGGTTTGCTTTGAATTCTCAATTATTTCTGGAGTGCCTTCAGCTTTGTTAGATGAAATTATTACCTCCCTTATTTGTAAACCTCTGAGAGGAAATGACCTTAAGTTCATCTATCCTTGTCCATGAAATACCTTCTGCTGAGCCTTAAAACTGAAGAAAAGCTACGAATAAACTTAAGATTTTTTTTAATCAAAGGGGAGAAGCTAATATCTTACATTACTTTCTTAGTTTTGTGATTACCCTGAGTAATTTGAGAATAGTTGAATCTGATCCCCTTCTGTATTGGAGGGGAAGCAGTTGGGCAATCATGCTGTGAATGACTGATGTCTTCTGAAATGGCCAGCTTTACTACACAGATGAGTAGCAGTGCTAGACTGAGTAGTAATGACAGCTGCTATAGTTTCAAGACAAACAAATGACTTCATTTCCTAGATCTCTTTTTGTGAAAAGCTAACCACTTGTATGATAATCCTTGAGGCCTCAAACAGCATGTAGTAGTTCAGCATGTTCATTACTGAAACTGGGAGAAATGAAACCAATGAGGAGTAAAAGGTACACTACGTATTGTGCATCTGCATGCATATATATATATATACATATATATAGTCGCATGTATATTTGCATCACTGAATAACACAGTCAGTAGCTTCTAAGTTGTATTTGAATACTGCAAGTTATTTATTTATTTATTTTTAAATTAATGAGCATGTTCCAAGTTCCAGAGGCAGGCACCGAAATCAGGAAAGTTCTTTGTTAGACCTATGTAATCTGGACATCAGCTACTTGAAAGGGAGGTGAGGTCCTGGAAATAGCACGTCAGTTGTAGACAGTGCATTTCTCCTCAAATCAATGCTTTAGCACCAACGTTCTAATATTCATGTAGATGGAAAGTATTTCTTATGATTGCAGTGTTTATTCCTTTACTGGCTCTAGTGTAACTTCTCTACTTAGTTTGCTTATGTTAAGTTTAAGCCTAGAAATGTTCATGTCAAATGTTTGAGTTGCATGAAAATAAAATACAGCCTTTTCAAAGTCCTGTAAAATATGGCATTACTTAAGGGTACTTTGTTATAATTTGGACAAAACACCATAGTTTTTGACTATCTCAGTCTATGTGACCTTCAGACTCACAGATGTCAGTAAGGACAGGTGACTGGTATTTAAGGGGAACTGGATTCACAAGCAACTTCTGGGTGCATGACGACTTGCAGGTTTGCTGTAGTATTTTATCACAGTCACCTTGAAAACTGATCATTTTCCTACAAACAAGCATTGGGTGATATAAAGTAGTGACACTGCAGATGTTAAAATTATCATCTATCAGGAGTTTCTTTTTTCTCTTCACATCTCCACTACGCGCATTCTCAGGAGTGTTGACCAAACCCTGTAGTTTTCCAATTCCTGGTATAGGTTTGGATAGCAGTTGCTGCTGTCAGGTCACTCTGGCTAAATTCTGCAATATGAACTGTGCTGGTTTGTTATTAACTTCACTTTGAAGGACTGGTGTATGGGTCATTTTACTGCCATATTTCAAGATTTTTATTTGTCATTGGGTTTGGTGTGCCTGTCATCTTGAAGAGCGCTGTCGTAGCTTGATATTTCTTTTGCTAACCTTTTCACTTAGAATACTGAAATGATTTTTTTCCTCCCTACCCCTCTTTTTTTTTTTTTTTTTTTTTTTTCCCCCCAGAAGTACTGCATTGTGGGATAACATCAAGGTCTGTCTTGCTGCTGGACTGTTCTGTTGACCTGTTTCAGTATTCTGAGACCACAGACTGACACGAAGGAATCTGTAAGTATGATGGTATGGGGGAATACTTTGCTGCCATTTAAAGACATACATCCTATAAAGATAGTTAGTGTGATGTTGTTTATGAAACCTTGTAAAATAAGTGGTGAGTGGCAGCATTTGTTTTATACCACTTAGTTGTCTCTGATTTAGTGTGTGCAGTTGATCAATAGGCAAAGTTCAGGTATTGCTTTATTAAAATTCTGTTTTGTATTTTTAGCATTTATTGAAAATATTAGATGGAAAAAGGAGAAAATTCTGTTAACAAAACCTCTCTTTGGTGTCTTACAATCTTAAGCAAAGCTAAAATAGGAGGAAGAAGGCTATAGGGAAGCATGGTAACTTTAAAATAACCAAATATGGTAGTTTATTTGATAATCTGGAGTTACATACTAGGAATTTTAGGTTACAGGGGATAGTTGTATCCTTTTAACACAGCCTTTGCTGTATTGATTGGTGTGTTATTGCGAAGTAATGCTGCGAAACGGACTGTGACTACCATATTTGAGCACATAATCTGGAAGAAATGGCATTACCCACATATGGAGAATGAAGATAACTGTTGCTGTTAGGGTTTAGCAGAAATACTGGAAAAGAAAAAAAGTATGTCTCTCGAGAGATTTGTCAGCTGTTTGTTACTGGAAATGCCATACTAACCAATGCATGGTATTTCAAGCAGCTGCCATCCTATAATAGTTGGATTCTAGAGAAACCTTTAAACAAGAAAAAAGTGTTGTTGCAAGTATTTTACACTGTGGCAGTTCAGAAATAGGAAATACTGGATTATGTTTATCATCAACTCTGACTTCAGGAAGGAATATGAAAACACTTCAGTCAAAACGCGGTTTACATGTGACAGGAAACTGCAGTTCTTTTCCTGGCACTTGCAGAATGTAGTCCCTTTGAGAGAATCTGTCTTCATCAGTTACACTACTCTAAAAATGACATTGCTTCATCAAGTAGTAGTGTTTTGAATTTCATTAATGAAGACTGGCATGATAACTCATCTTTCCAAGTGTTTTGTTTAAGACTATTTCCAGGCACAAGGATTCTTAGGTGTAAATAAAACTGTCACTTTTTCCCCTGCTGTCACTCCTGTCTCCATTGACGTAACTTTCTTGTGTCAATACAGTTAATTCTTCATCAACTTTGCTTATTTGAATACTAGCTTCAGTTTGAGTTACTAACTTGATTATGAGGTATGACCTTCCAAATTTCAAGCTTTGTTTGGAATTTCATCACCTAAATATTGCTACAAGTACATACTACCATACTGACACTTATTTCTCATTTTCTGGGCTGTGACCATTGATATGTTGTTGATTACAGCTATTGCAAGGAAGATTTGACCCTTTTATTACAGAGAATAGGAGCACTTACTTAAAAGAGCTTCGTGTTGGATAGCAGAAGTTAAAAACAAGTAGTGAATTTTGACTGGATCTTGCTTGTAATGAAGTTGATAGTTGCTATGTTATCCTTTTAGTTTGGATGAGTATCTGTGTCTCATGCACATGTATGGACTCAGAACTCTGGCTCTTTTTCCTACAGAGCTATGAAGTCACGAATAAATTATTTGATTGAACTGCTCTGTAGTTCGTTTTGCAGGTGGATGCTAAAATATCTTCAGGTGTCGATGTTTATTGTGCAAATAGGAAATAACTCGGACAGTTTGTTTTTAAATTGAAACCATGGGTTAAAATTCTTGACTCCTAGATACTCTGAACAGAAAGGCACTGAAAGTTTCCAGATTTTAAAACAATGAAAATACCACAGAAGAATGCAAATAGATTCATCTATTTGTAAGATATGCTAACTTTCTTGTGTTGTTACTTTTATTTTTTTTTTCTTTTTTGAAAGCTTTAGGTAAGAGTTATAAAGTGGCCAGTCCTACTGAGGAGGGCGTTATCCTCCTGACATACCCAAATATTAGGCAGCCAGCACCAATCCAGTGATAAAGCTGCTTAAGCAGAGCTTTCCAGGCTACCTTTTTTTCTTTGTTCATTTGCGTAGGCTGAACATGAGTGAAGTTTGTTATAACTGTAAGCTTGCTTGGTTATACGTGGGGTTTTTGTTACACTACTAGTCCAGCAGTGGTGACTTCTTTTCAAAATAAATTCTAGGATCATTGCCAATAGTTTGTAGTTCAGCTTCTTCAGAGACTTAATACAGTGTCATGTTATGTATTTGTATACTGCTGGCAAGTATGATTTGTTACAAGTATCACAGTTGGCTGGATATTGTGATTACAAAATGAAATTATTGGTTTAATATTTTTGTAATGGCTATCCTAACCAAGTGGATTAAAAGAGGTCTGGAGCTCCAAGTTAATTCTAAAGGTTTTTTATGAGGAATATTGAACCTTTCAGAACTGCTCTGAACTGCACTCTGAGATGTAGAGCCAGTTGATACAGCATAATGCAGAAAAATTAAATATTATGGTCAAATTTTAGAAAGTGGCATCAATTTATTTATATATATATGTATGTATAAATTTGAGGAAATGTAAAGCTTGTGAGAAATTGTGTAGATTGCTGTAAAGCTAAATGGGTATTCCTATGCTTTTTTTTTTCCAGCAGTGGTGAAAGACCCCTCAGATATAGCCTTGAAGTTCAGGCTAAGGCATCGGTATTACTCAAAAACAAAACAATACTGTTTAAACAAGTATTAAGTATCATAGGTTTTAATTCAGCTTTGTGCACTTCCGTTCACATTCTTTGAACATCTTAGACCTTCATATATTTATAAGTAGGAGAGCCTGACATTTCTCTTGCATTTATCCAATTTTAAAGAGGGCTGTTATTCCGTGTTGTAATGGTTCAAGTCCATATGCATACCGTATTTGAACAAGAAGTTGTGTGGGGCTAATGGGATTAATTAGAATGAGATGCTGACATGTATCAGGTATGAATTGATGCTTTCATTGTGGTAATGCTGCAGAGCCCTGTGTAACCTTTTGCTTTACAAACCACTGTAGCCGTTGTGAAAATGTGGAATGATCTTGGATCTTGTCTTCAGTGTCCACTGTAGCTTCTGTGTGTAGCACAATTAGCTTGTCACCTGCAACCTGTCAGCTTTGTCTTCATGGCAGCCTGAATGGCCTGACTTGGCCTTTTTTGCCTGCTTGCTACAACAAGGCTTCTGAGGGACAACTTCATCAATCTTGAATTTCCTTTCTCTGACAATTGTAGTTTTTTAGTTACTTTATTTCTTTCCATCTTCAAATCTTATAAGCTTTTTTCCATCCTCAGAATATTTTTTCCTGTTGTTACTTGGAGTTAGTATTAATTAAAGGTATTCGGCACGTGTATAGTCAGTTGTTCTGATAACAACTAAGCATAGCTAGTATCTGCTTAATACTGTTAGCATTCATTTACCTACAACCAGGGTCTATTTCTTGTCACATCAAAATGAAGTTGGTACAACCAAGTATCTGAGCTCCGAGCTTGGATCATAAAATTGGTGACGGTGCAGGAGTATTCAAGAGCTGGATGGAGGCTCTGGTGCTACAACAGCAAAAGATGTAGCTCTGTGACTTGACTTGAGTATGGCAATTGCACCAACAGCCACACATTGTGGTTTGCTAGTTCAGCCTCCTGTGGTTGAGGTACTGTTCTCAAGCTTCATATCACCAAGTGGGAATGCCACTGACTGTCATTTCAAAAGCACTGTCCAGAAGGAGAAATTGCTGCCAAACTCTTTCCAGTGTCTTTCCCATTAGCCTACTGTTTTCTCCCCTTTGGCTTTCAGGTTCCATGTGTGTTACTGGTCCTTGTAAAGGCTGTATGTTTCCTTTGAGAGCAGTACTGTTATGCTTTCCGTATTCAGAGAATGATCCTGAACCACCCTCAGACTCTTGAGCTCTGCTCTATTAGGCTGCTAAAGATTCCGTAGTTTGGGCACACAAAATGAGTACTCAGTTCTGATCTTCTTACGTGGCTTGTGTGTTTTTTTGCCCTTTCAAGGGTGAAAGGCTGGGAAAGAAAGCTAAGCTGTGGCCTGTGAGTGGAGGTTTTGGTGTGTCTATTTCTATATTCTCAACTTGCTTTGGAAAGGCTTTTCTCCACTAATGAGAGCTATTCATCTCTTCCCATGTTAAATTGAGGAATTAGTTACAGGTACCTTTTGAAAGCCGAGATAAACAAGACACCAAAGTACTTCCCTGTAATGTATAAATTTTATATGTACATATGTCTTAACCTAGTCCACAAAGACTTCACATTTGGACTTGAATGTTTACTCTAACAGCTTTCATGAACACATGCGTTGCTTTTAGATTTAAATAGCTGTGTAATCTGAGATGAGAGCTGTAGTACAGCAGCTAAATATATCCTTGCAGCATAGTTGAGAAGTCCTGCATTCAGAAATTAAATTTGGCAAATAAGAAGGATTTTGTTCTTTTTACAGCTACAGCAAGAAAGCAGTCATCATTTATGTGGTCATATTACTTAGTTTCAATTTATTCACATGCTTGGCTGAGACAATATTAGGTGCGTAGGTATCAGTATAATAACATTAATGCAAAGCAAATCGATATAGACTTACTGGTAATGGTTAGATTGCAGTGGGTAAGCAAGTGTTTAAGTAATAAGGTGCCAGAGTGAATATAAATGGTTGTAGGTGGCTGACGTGTTTGTCTTAATGCCACTAGAAACACCAGTTGAGAAGATCTATTCCTTTTGATGAGAAAAATGGCTGAAGTTGTATTGAATCTTCCATATAGAAATGTGTTAGTTGAATGTTAATATGGGAATGCACGGTCAGTGTGGATTTCCATATAATTATTGCATAAAATGTTACCTGCTAATTAAGTAGTTCAATTTTGTTCAATTGTAAGCAATGTGAAATGGGGAGGATCAAGTCATCTCTTAATGAAGCCGGAGTGGTCACAATTGAGTATTGTGGCTTTTACAGTGTTACAGAGAGAAATGGTGCTGATTTTTTAACACTTGAGCTGGTATTGTATTCCAGAAGTACAATAATTACCCGATTTCCTGGCAGCTGGA